AATGCACCCTCAACCTCTGGGTTCAAGCAATCCTCCCACCTCAGCCTCCCAAGTAGCTGGAACTATAGCTGCACACCATCAAGCCTAGCTAATTTTTTTGTACTCTTTTGTAGAGATGAGGTTTCACTATGTTGTCCAGGCTGATCTTGAACTCCTAGCTCAAGCCATTCAGCCACCTTGGCCTCCCGGGTTACAGGTGTGCATTTCTAGAAGTTTTTAATCATCCCAAACAGAATGAGACTCTGTGCCCACTAAGCAGTAACCCCCCGCCTCCCACCCCCCAGCCCTGGTAACCTCTATTCTACTTTCTATCTCTATGAATTTGCCTATTCCAGGTACTTCATATAAGTAGAATCATATAATATTTGGATAATATTTGTCTTTTTGCGATGAAAGCCTCTACTTTTTAAAAAAGCTAGTATTTTTAAATTTGAAAGCTGAGGAAGGTGGATCACTTAAGATCAGGAGTTTGAGGCCAGCCTGGCCAACATGGCGAAACCCCATCTCTACAAAAAATACAAGAATTAGCTGGGTGTAGTGGCGGGAGCCTGTAATCTCAGCTACTCGGGAGGCTGAGGCAGGAGAATTGCCTGAACCTGGGAGGTGGAGGTTGCAGTGAGCCAGATCGTGTCACTGCACTCTAGGCTGGGCGACAGAGTGAGACTTTGTCTCAAAAAAAAAAAAAAAAAAAAAGAAAAAAGAAAAAAAGAGCACAGGCTTTATTTCAGTAAAATAACAGCAGCAGTTGCTATGTGCTAGGTTCTATGCTAGGAAGTGTGAATTCATCCTGTCACCAAACACTCCCAATACACCCATGCAGTGGGTTTTATTAGTACTCGTTCTACTTTACAATGAGAAAACGGAGGCTCAGAGAGGGCTCCCGGGCTGTGAATCAGACAGATGTGCTGTCCGACTCCAGCCCTACCACTGACCCACTGCAAGATTTTGGGCAAGTGGTTTGCTCTTCTTCAGCCTCAGTCTAACTCGTCTGTAGAATGCAGATCACAAAATATGATTCCCGGGGCATTATAAGGAGTACAGGGGTGACGATTACAAGAGCACCTGCACAAGGTAGTTACTCAAGAAATGCTCATCCCTATTCCTGCCTCATGCCCCATCACGGCCTCAAGTTCCTTTTCTCATTCCCGAGATACATCTTCCTATCTTTCCTCCTACACACCCTACTACAAAGTGACCATACACTACATCACTTCCTGAACATACTTCCTTTGGCTATGCCTTTAGGCTTTTGTAAAGGCTGTTTCCTCTGCGTGGAATACTTTTCTCACTCCACTGCTCCAGAAGAACTCCTATTCATCCTTTAAAACCCACCTTAAAAAGCCCTTCTCTTTGAACGTTTCCTTGAAATGTTCCCTTCCTGTCCTTGGCCAGATAACTGAAGTATAAATGCACTGCTACAGGGACCAGGAAGGCAGGTAACACCACCAGTATCAGCATCAGCCTCAGCAATGCTTAGACAGTGTTTACTTGAGTCAGGCACTGTGCTGAGGGATTCATGTGTGTTGACTCATTTAATGTCCAAAATAACCCTTTGAGGCAAGTGCTATTTATTATGCCTGTTTTACGCATAAGGAAATGGAGTCGCTAAACAATTTGCCTGAAACTGGTGGTTTTTTTTTTTTTTGGACAGAGTTTTGTTCTTGTCACCCGGGCTGGAGTACAATGGTGCAATCTCAGCTCATTGCAACCTCTGCCTACTGGGTTCAAGCTATTCTCCTGCCTCACCTTCCCAAAGTGCTGAGATTACAGGCGTGAGCCACCATGCCTGGCCTGAAAGTACTATAGTTAATCCACTGCATTGCTGGGAGATTGAGACTGGCTGTGGAGTCTGTGGTGTTACCTTTTATATTAGCTGCTCTTTATGAATGAGTGGAGGGCCAGGTAGGGACTGTCATGCCTTGCAGGGTGCCTACTCCATGTAAGGGGGCAGCTAAATGTCTGGCCTGGCATTGCCAGTTTTTCTTTTCTTTCTTTTTCTTCTTTTTTGAGAGAGGGTCTCACCCTGTTGCCCAAGCTGGAGTCCAGTTGTGTGATCATAGCTCGCTGCAGCCTCAACCTCCAGGGCTCAGGGGAGCCTCTCACCTCAGCCTCCCCTGTAGCTGGGACTGTAGGCACATGCCACCACACCTAGCAAATGTATATGTTATTTACATATACGTATGTAAATAATATACATATACATATGTATATGCCCTTTGTATGTGTATATGTATTATATACATATACAAAAGCCCTTTTTTTTGAACTCTAGCTAACACAGTGGTAGTGGGGTGGGGGCATGTGCGTACATGGTTCTGTATGTGAGCAGTAGAACTAGGAAGTGGTGAAGCTGGGATTATAATGTAGTGTCTCTGATTCTAGTTTTTTATCTACCCGGATCATGGGTTCCACCAAACTCTTAAGTGTCCAATCACGCAGTCTAGAGCAGACACCCTCTCTTAATGCCACAGTCTGGACCTACAAACTTTGTGGTTCACAAATGGGACCGTGGACAGTCCAATCTGCCAGTCTGTGGTTTTCAACTCCTGTCTGCTATTGGAGGGTGAGTTTGGCTTTGAGGGGCATCTAGAGAGAACCCCTAGAGGTGGCCCCTGATGGAACCTCTGCCCACTGGGGCATGGCCAGGCAGAGCTAGTGGCCTGGCTGAGTCCCAGCCTTTGGGACCAGCAGAGACTGCAGCTAGAGAGAGTGTGGTGTTTGTCCTTGGCCATAGACAGAATAGAGGTGTGTGCGCACACCTGTAAATGTGTACTCACACATGTGCACATGCTTGTGTGTTTCACGTATGTGCACAATGTGTGCTCGTGTGTGAACATGCATATGTACACATATATGTGCATATGTGTGTGTGTATGCATGGGTCTGTATGTGAGCAGTAGAAAATAGAGGACCTCATCCCCTAAATTCAGATCCTGTAAAGTTAGTTTAGGATAAAGAACAGGAAATTGAACCTAACCCCAAGATAACAATTTGTAGAAGACACTGATATAAAAACCAGCCTGAAAATTTTTGTCACCTAATTCCCATCAGCAGGCATGTCCATGGTGGGAATCCATGCAGTAATTTAAATAAATAAGCTGGATTTATATGCAGCAGCATGGATAAGGAGATGACAGGGGCCAAGTTGCAGAGTGACATAGGTGGGTTGTACCATTTCTACTTCTATTGCTTTTTTTTTTTTTTCCTTTGGGGTGGAGTTTCACTCTTGTTGCCCAGGCTGGAGTGCAGTGGTGCCATCTTGGCTCACTGCAACCTCCGCCTCCCAGGTTCAAGAGATTCTCTTGCCTCTGCCTCCCGGTAGCTGTGATTACAGGTACCTACCACAACACCCTGCTAATTTTGTGGGTTTTTTTTTTTTCTTTTAGCAGAGGTGGGGTTTCTCCATGTTGGTCAGGCTGCTCTTGAACTCCCAACCTCAGGCGACCCACCCGCCTCCGCCTCCCAAAGTGCTGGGATTACAGGTGTGAGACATCACACCCAGCTTCTGTTTTTAAATTTGTTATTTTTTTGGAAACAGAATCTTGTTCTGTCACCCGGGCTATAGTGCAGTGGTGGGATCTCAGCTCACTGCAACCTCCACCTCCTAGGTTCAAGCGATTCTCCTGCCTCAGCCACCATGTCCGGCTAATTTTTGTAATTTTTTTTTTTTTAAGTAGAGATGGGGTTTCAGCATATAGGCCAGGCTGGTTTCAGACTCCTGACATCAAGTGATTCGCCTGCCTCAGCCTCTCAAGTTTGTACCATTTCTATTAAATATCCGCCTACAACATTAATAAGAATTTTACACATTTTCTATGGCTATGTATATATGACTGTGTGGGTGGAAGAAAATGTCTAGAAGGAAACACCCCAAATTATGAGGTGATTACCTTTGGGGAGCTGGGAGGGCAGCAGTGGAAGATTACTGCAAAGAAGAATGGATCCCTGTGTTCCGCGTGGAGTTACACAGTTCAGTGGTCAGGAAGATTGGGTCACTCATGGATGCTCGGATCTCAGACAGGGATGCTCAGGTCTATGGGAGCTTTCAGGCCCATCCTCCGTGGGCTTTGTGAGAGCTGGGCTGCCAGGGACCAAAGCCAGCCTTGGTTGTTCTGCCACCACTCTCTGGTGGAGGTGAATGGGAAGATGTGCCTTTTGTGGACTGGAGCTCTCTGCTGCTTCCTCCCTAAACTCTGTGCCTCAGTTTCTCCCTCTACGCTAGGGGGAGAATGTCCCTGTCTTATATCCCAGATCCTCTCCCTCCACCACACACCTAAGCCACATGACATTCTCCAGACATCAACTTAGCGCTGCACAGTCCTCAGCGCGGGCAACCACAGAGCCTTCGGATGTGGCCTCCTCCCCAGCACCACCCCAATGGGCCACTTAGAGAAGAAACGCAGGTTCCCCGGACGCGACTGACAGCCCACAAGGTAGGCTCCAGGGTCGGACTGCCTGGGTTCAAATCTGAGCTCAGCAACTTGTTCCTGGGACGTAGGAAAGCTTCCCCACCCTCTGACCCTCAGTTTGCACTTCTGCAAAATGGGGACAGTAAGAGAACCAGAACCACCCCACAGGGATAGCCTGTGAGCGAAGTTAGGTCGTTTGAGCAAGGCGCTCTGCTGCGCGGTGCCCAGCACGTAGAAAGCGATCTCGAGTTTCATTGTTGTCACCTCTTGAACAACCTCTCGCCCCGCCCCCGCCCCAAGTCAGGATTTTGCAGCCGTCTCTGAGGTCCCAGACACGCCGGGGACCCTCTCCCTGTCCCGCCGTCCGCACCCTGGGGGCTTTTCCCAGCCTCTAGCTCTCCCCTCTGCCCCCAACAGCTTCAGTCCTTAGGCCGGGTCCCGGGCGCCGCAGACAGGCACCCAAGCGCCCTCCCGTAGGAAACTGAGGCGGGGACAGGAGCGCGCGGGCCGGGGTTGGGTAGAAGGCGCGGCGCGCAGGTTCTCAGGGCAGCGCGCGGGACCCTGGGTGCGAGTCGGGGGTCGCGGTCATACCTGATCGAGCGGTGGAGCTGGGACACGGAGGATGCGCGCTGTCGGCGGTGGCTGAGGCGGCGGTGCGCGCTGGGCAGGCGGCGGCGGCGGCCGAGTGGTGGTGACACTGGGACACCGGGCGAGCGCGGCGAGACCGAGGGGGAGGGAGCAGGCTCAGGGGCGGGGAAGCCCCGGGAGCGCCCGCGGGCGGAGCTTACCGGGCGCCACCGGCCCGGCCACCCGCACGGTCCCGGCTCCTCCGGCCACTTCCCTCGGCTGCCCATAGCTCCAGCCCCCACACGCCAGGTGCAGGGACACCGGACGCCTCCCGCACGCACACGCTCCACGCTCCGCATTCTCTCTCCGCTTTTCCGGACACCAGCGATATCCACATGCGCCACGAATATGTCCAAAGACCCCTCATCCGAGTGTCCCCCACGTCCCCTCAGTACATATCACATGCCACATATACGAACACTCCGTCCCATCCCACGCGTGTACCTGTCCCGCTTACCTTGGCTTAGCATCGGGCTCACCTATACAGTCGCGCCCCCATCACGTCCACACCGTGGCAGGCAAAACGTCCTCTGGGCCAGTTGGTGATTTTAGGGGGACCTGTGCAGTCCCCTTTTCCAGGAAAGTTCTTCCCGCTGCCTCTTCCACCTCCTCCAAGGTCAATCTCAGACCTCAATCATCCCCGATAGGTCCGATCTTTGCATTGGAAATTCAAACAGTCCACCCGGAGTTTGGGACCTCTGGCTCCCTCTGGAGTGCCCGCTATACCTGAGCTCCAGCCTCAGGGCACTGGCGGGCCTTGTGATGTCCTCAAATTTTCCCTTCCTTCTCTCTTCACAATTCAAGGTTCCAGGACTATCATTTCAGCCACTTTCTTACCAATATCCTTAACACTTCATTTCCTGTATATTTTGCCACAGATTGTCCTAATGTAGCCATTCTCAAAATGTTTGGTTTTGGGAATTTTTGTACTTTTTTTTTGAGACAGAGTTCCACTCTGTCGCCCAGGCTGGAGTGCAGTGACTAGATCTTGGCTTACTGCAACCTCCCCCTCCCAGATTCCAGCGATTCTCCTGCCTCAGCCTCCCAAGTAGCTGGGATTACAGGTACCCGACACCAAACCCAGATAATTTCTTTGTATTTTTTGTAGAGTTGGGATTTCTCTATTTTGGCCAGGCTGGTCTGGATCTCCTGGGCTCAAGTGATTCACTGGCCTCAGGCTCCCAAAGTGCTGGGATTACAGGTGTGAGCCACCATGCCCAGCCAGGAATCTTTTGTGCTTTTAAAAATTATAGAGTGCCCGAGACATTTTGTTTATGTAGGGTATGTACATGCACACACACACACA